TAAGACTTTAAAAGTATAATATATGTATAACTTTCCCCCCACTTCGAGTGAAACTTTACTTTGTCTTGTAACCTACAGGTGACATAAATATATAGTAAATAATTAAAGTGAAAATTACATAGAATAAAATATAGTATCACTGTGTTCCATGAGTGATTGGCCTTGAATACAGTAGTACAGAAGGTGCATCGTCTGACCCATTACACCCATTCCTAATTTGATCACATCGAAAATATTTGTTTTCAACAGTGCCTAAAAATACGGATTTTCTTGTTCACTTACACTTACACTTATGCACACACATAAGTGCCCGCTCACACACACACACACACGCACACGCACGCACACACTTATAGATGACATGTTAAATATTTTACTTACCGTGACTCCAGTTAAACTCATCACAACGAGTTCACAACACAATATAAAAAAAAAAGAGTCACTGTAGGTATCATTAATTTTTCTACAGAATCTGAAATATTCGATTGTCTATAAATAAATACTTCTTTATGAATTATAATATGAAATTATGAATAAATGAAAGAAAAAAAATATATTTATATACAAAAATAATACGTCACTCAATGGCTTCGTTATGTTTATCGATACGGTACATTTCATTTGAAAAAAATGAATTTTTTTTAGAACACTATTAAATAAAGTAAATATTATTTAAAAAATTAATTTTAAATTGCATCGTGACTCTCGTTAAGCTTATTGAAACATATATTTTGAAAAAAGCCAACTGTGTGGGAAAAAAATTATTTTAGTTAATGTTGCTTACGTAAATTGCTGTAATGTGCTTACCCTAGAATAGCAAATACGTCACAGTTACATTGGACATAACTTACGAACAAAGTATCATTGGCTATACCATAGCCACAGCGACTGACGGAAGTGACACAGAAAAACGTCGTGAAAAAAAAAATTTTTTCTTCGTTAATATATAGTATTCGACGACCAACAGTTTTGGCTGCCTTGACCTTGTTTCATTCAATGGATTAATTAAATCTTGAAGTTCAAGACACAAGTACATTATGCAGACACTAACCTTAATACCTACAAATAGTTGTGATCATCATTTAAGATTAGAAACCAGAGATACCAATTTAATCGACGGAAAGACAGGTATAAATATTTCCCTTGGCACATGAAAATAGTTTGATAACACGTACGTCTAATTTCTTCTTTATCCTTCAAATATTCCTATTTTTTTCATTCCTACATAAAATGGTTTTGGTATATGAACAATAAGTAACTGAATGTTTTAGCTCTATCAAATAAAAAAAAAACTTTAGATTTATTTACTTAATTTGTTTGTTTTTGTAAACATAGTTGAATGTTATCGTGACGACACAGTTTATATACTAGCAGAAAAAATTTCTACAGCCAGATCGTTGGCTGTAATTGTTAATTTGTTAAGTTTGCTGTTTGCACTTTTTGTGTTCGTTAATTATAAAAAATTATTTTTATAACACATAAAAGAGAAACAGTGAAGGTTACTTGAAAATAAAAAGCAACAAGAATTAAAATTTTACCTGCCTTTTGATCCTAATAATACCACTGTTCAATCATACACATAATTAGCTTGGTGAATTTGTTAAACAGCCAACATGGTAACCCTCTTCGAATGACATGGTGATGAACAAAGTCTCTTGAAGTACTAAATTTTTTGTTTATACATAGTTTACCTAGAGCTGTTGACGATTGAAAATGCTCTCCTCAAGGACACCTTAATCGATGTTACGCGTAAACCTTTTTGCCTTGAACTATTGCTGTCTTCAAGTGCACAAAACTTAGTTTTATTATTCATATTAATGTCCACGCATCAGTTGCATCAACGCTGTTAACTACCGGTACACATAAAATAAGGGTGTACCCACTAAAATTAAATCAGTTCCATACAAAATATACATTGATTTCATGATTTTTAAAGGTTTTCCGTTTTTATTTTAGGATCACAATCATGATTATTACGTTATTTTCGTTTTAATTGTTTAATGATTGTGATTTTTAAAAATACTAATTTTGGTAATATTGTTATAGAAAATAGTGATTAATTTTAAGTATAACTATTACAAATGATAATAATAAGAATAATGTATATTTAACGAAAAATTCAGATTTTTAATACAAATGTTCATATTTTTATTTGTACCCTCTTGTTAATCTGTTAATTCATGATATTTCATTGTAAAAAATATCAATGTTTCATTAAACAAAAATTAGTTTTTCACGAACTCTAAACTCAAGCATCATTTGTATTTTTTAATTTTTATAATTTAAAATCATACTTTTTGAAAACTCATATTTAACTAACTCGACAATTATCTATTTACAGATTGGTTCTATTTACATCGTATTTACTAATCAAGTACTTTTGCTACGTAATTACTATAAAATCCAAGTATTGTGAAAAACATACATATGATTATAATATAGTGCAAACAAAAATGATGAAGAAAAGGTATTTTAATTTTGACTTATGGATCTTAGTACGGTGAAACATGACGATGCTCTTTTCATCACCTAAACATATAAAATTTATTACTAAGTGACGTTTATCATCAATAATAGCTAATAATCAACCACATTACCTCCATAAATGTAGATAATGAAAGCTCGTACATTTTTGCTGTGAGTTTGCACTGCTTGGCGGACCGCATCATCATCATCATTGTGAGTTTTTTCACTTTTATCGGTGAGTTGTACCATTTCAAATTATATNGACACTAACCTTAATACCTACAAATAGTTGTGATCATCATTTAAGATTAGAAACCAGAGATACCAATTTAATCGACGGAAAGACAGGTATAAATATTTCCCTTGGCACATGAAAATAGTTTGATAACACGTACGTCTAATTTCTTCTTTATCTTTTAAAGTCTAATTTCTTCTTTATCCTTCAAATATTCCTATTTTTTTCATTCCTACATAAAATGGTTTTGGTATATGAACAATAAGTAACTGAATGTTTTACTGATATAAAACAAATAAAAAAATAAAAAAGTTGAGTAGTATAAATTTAGACTAAGACTTTAAAAGTATAATATATGTATAACTTTCCCCCCACTTCGAGTGAAACTTTACTTTGTCTTGTAACCTACAGGTGACATAAATATATAGTAAATAATTAAAGTGAAAATTACATAGAATAAAATATAGTATCACTGTGTTCCATGAGTGATTGGCCTTGAATACAGTAGTACAGAAGGTGCATCGTCTGACCCATTACACCCATTCCTAATTTGATCACATCGAAAATATTTGTTTTCAACAGTGCCTAAAAATACGGATTTTCTTGTTCACTTACACTTACACTTATGCACACACATAAGTGCCCGCTCACACACACACACACACGCACACGCACGCACACACTTATAGATGACATGTTAAATATTTTACTTACCGTGACTCCAGTTAAACTCATCACAACGAGTTCACAACACAATATAAAAAAAAAAGAGTCACTGTAGGTATCATTAATTTTTCTACAGAATCTGAAATATTCGATTGTCTATAAATAAATACTTCTTTATGAATTATAATATGAAATTATGAATAAATGAAAGAAAAAAAATATATTTATATACAAAAATAATACGTCACTCAATGGCTTCGTTATGTTTATCGATACAGTATAATAATTTATTAAAGTCAATTTCTGCCATTCCATCATCATAATTAATCACCGAGTTTTCAGTACTTTTTAATCGGTACCTTTAAAAAACAAAAATTATTCCTATTTTACTTCATACATATACATTTACTTCATTCAATATTGTTTTAATACATGGCACTGATGTTAACTTACTCGAGAATAGCGAACAATCCGCAGTTGTGCTGAACGCAACTCACGAAAAAAGTATCAATGGCCAACATGAGTAATAGGGCTGATGTAATTGACAAAGTGAAATGCAGCAAAATTAAAAAAGAATACTTCTCTTCATCGATGCAGTAATCGACCGCGGGTTTTGGCTCTCTCGGCCTTGTTTCATTCAGTGGATTAATTATATCCAGGATGTAAGGTATAAATGGCAGGAATAAGTAAGTTATACTAGAAGAAACTAGAATGCCTGCAAGAAGTTGTGATTATTATGTTTAATTGAAAATCAAAGTTATTAGTTTTCTTGAGACGAATAAAATGTCTCTTTTTAATATTTAGAATTAATTTTCGAGTATCTACTTACAACAGTACGTATATCCCATTAATTTTCCATACAAAGAGTATTTTGATAAAATTTTAATTTCTTCTTTATCTTTTAAATTTTTCCAGTCATTTCTAATTGTGTTCAAAACGATTGTTATCTATGAATAAATAATTATTAAATGCGTTAAAATAGTATAAAGTCGGTACTTTTAAATAAAAATATGATATCAGTTTACTTGATTTTTTTTCAAAAGACAATTGATACATTTTATTAGAACTGTAAGACTGTCTATTAGCAGAGCAAGAATTTCTATAACTAGATCAGTATTATTCATCTCCTTTATTAATTTTATTACCTAAAAATTTTTTGATGATAAAATATGATTTTTGCAACTTCAATTAAAAAACGATCTTAACATATCACAAACCTGGGGAATGATGAAAGTTGCTTGAAAACAAACAGTAATGAAAGTTAATATTTTAGCTGATTTTTTTGCTTGATACGGCCATTGTCCTATCGTGCACATAAATAGTTTGATAAGCTTGTAATACTTCTGGACGTAGTGATCCCCGTCCAATGACATTTTGAACAAAGACCAACAGTATACTGGCTGTTTTACAAGTAGAATCGCAATGCTGTCGGTGAATAAATAGCCTCTCTAAAGACGGTGCTGAATCGATGGTGAGCATGAAGTTTGTTACCTTGAACTACAACAACATTTAAGAGCACAATGCGTAGTTCCATTATTTTAATGTGTAAGGATGCCCTACAATACTTGCAGTAATATTGTTTCATTTTAATAATAAATTAAAAAAAAAAAAAAAAATATCGTTAAAAATGATCAGTAAGTTGGTATCATTGTATACCAAGTGAATGTCTGTCGAAATAAATAAGCAAAAGAGAGATTATCGATGGAGACAAGCAGGAAGAAAAGCAATCTAGAACGAGCAGCTTATTAGCAAGTAAAAAAAAAAAAACCAGATATTAGGAATGTGACAGAGAAAAATAAATATGATACTCCATCCGCACTGTTTGAATCTGTATCTATACATATGAGAGTATTACTTTTCCAAATTAACGAGTGTTACACCTTACATCGATAATGTGTGTACTTAAATATTATGCCATTTCGATACTTCGTTGTCCGTAATTCCGTACTCATAGTTATAGTTTTTAACCCCCTCCTCCCCCCGTGACCGACTGGAAATAACTTGAGTGCATATGCACCAAAATTTAAGACCATCTGCTGTTAATTGTAGCCAGAATTTTCTTGAATTTTTTTTTACATGTAACATGACAATTTGAAACTCTATAAATGTACA